AAACTGTCACCCCGATGTTGCCTATTAAAACATTTGCGAGGAACGGGCCGAACGACGAGCCCATCGCTACTCCGTCTATTTGCCTTTTCAGTTAACCAATACAGAGAAGCTGGACGTTTTTCTCCAACGTGTCAGTGGTTCTTTTATGGTTTCCAGCGGCATGCATAACATGTAGCTCGTGTCGTGGATAACGTCACAAGGACAGTGTATTTCTTCGGCCACGCATACATTAGTAAGCAGTGATGCTGCATCTAAGGATAGCGTCCTCCGTCCGTCAACGTTAATATCCTTGATGGCCTCAAAAGACTCGAAGGAGTCCCTCAACCTTAGAGGGTACATATGACTTTACAGCAGATTAAGTTTTTAGGCAAGTCATTTTGCTCTGGTGTGATAGGGCGAACTCCTCATATCCAGGATTGGACGTAGGGGAAGCACGTGTTTGTGAATTTTTGCGAGGCCGTAATCCTGGATATGGCCGTGTCCACCGGTCTTAGTCGCTCATATCCTTTATCAGATAAATGAACTACTTTGTGAAGGAATTTGAGAACCTCCGTCAGCTGAACTTCAGCGGTCTCTGTGCAGTCCCCGTCTTTCTAGGATTTCCAGAATTTGGAACGAACCGACAGTATTGCCTCTATTTTTGATACGAACTTTTAACTATCTATCAGTACAAGGTTTAAGCCCTTATTCCGTCTGGTTAGCACAATGTTTGTACTTTTACGAAGTTCACTAAGATGAGCACTTGGTAATGGATCTTTGTTTTTTGGAGGCCTTCTTAAGTACTGCTGACAGCAAGTAAACATATTCAGCTTAAGATAGTCAACTTCTCCAGGGCCGCAAGGTATTAGATCGACATCCTGACTGAAGTGACTCTAAAATTGGACTTCTAGGTCTAGCTGTTTCGGACTCCGCCGTGTATAACAAAACTTAGGATCAAGAGACAGTACATCTATGGGAGTTCTGACAAACTGTACCGATGAATAGTTATGAACGTACCGTTCCGGATTATTCGGAAGGGCCGTCTGAGCCCTCACTGGTTAGACACTTCGTAGGAGCTTAGTACACTTGGCCTCAATTATCCTACTTCTAACTGTTTGCACGTAGTTTTCAAGCACCTGTCTCTCGCAGTTTTCAAGACGGTCCAGGGCCGCTGCTATCTGGCACAAATTCCGTTAAAGTTCTTCAATTCCGGCACTAACTGTCTCTAGGTGTTTTTTTTGAATGTCGTCTTAATGCAGCCGAGGTAGTGGCAATATGGTTCCTTTGTAAGGTTTTCCAATATTACTTTGGATGTTCACACCCCGTCAATACATCCTGGTAAGAATTTTGTCGTAGCATCTGCCTCCACAAGTCCGGTGTCAAACTTTACGAATCCATTAAGTAACTTTAACACACTCATCGTTCCCACGCGACTCGCATGGCGCGGCGTGCTATGGCGTGGTCGGCCTGTCATGGTCATTGGGTCACGGGGACGAGGGGGAGGGGGATGACATAGGCTCTAAGTAATAAATTATTATCAGCTAGTTTGGAATCCATAGACACGAATGCGAATGGAGGTAAACACAGGAAAGTGGTGGAGAGACGTTGTTTCTAGACATATACAGCTGAGAGAACTAATAAAAACTTCTGAATTCAGCGAAAGGGACCTTGCGGACGAATGCGTCTCTAAATCTGTTGAAACATTAAGGCCATAATTCCTGAGCCTGCTGTCTGTCAGATTTTGAAGACTGGCCTTTCTGGTCCGCATCTGCACGAGATAGATAGACGTAAAGGCTCTTGCTAAAGACGAACGTTTCCATACGTGCTACCGGTAACTTGTAAGGTGCTTCAGTCAAATGCAGATAGCGTTGAAATGCCTATAATACTGCCGACCCGTGCAACTTGTGTTTGCTAATTACTGCACTCCTAAGAGTAATTATGGTTGGCCGTCTGATGTTTCATCGTTGCACTTACGACGTGAACTTACTAATTGCGAAATCATGATCCCTGTCCTCTGCAGGAGATAGGCCACCACACCTCAATAGCAGAGCCCCACACCAAGGAAATAGTTTTCTGAGCGCCTAAATGCTTGCCAGGTAATCCGCCAACCCAGAAGAGTAATCTGACAAACGTAGTTGGTACTTTGCTCACCCCTCACAGTCCTTCCAGTTATCCGTATGATGTTTTGTTCTGATCTCGTCGATGCACTCCTCTCAGTTAACAATTGCCGCCTATGTTAGGATCGCTGCAAAAGCCGATACATGACATCAAATGTCTGCGGCTTCGTGCAGCAATAAAAAGGAGCAGGTGATTGTTACGAACTGGCAAAGGTGCATATGTGGCGGTCAAGGATGTGAGATCAACTTAAAGCACGCACAATAAGTTCGTTTCGTCTACTGTCAGAAGTCAGGGAGCTGTGAGGACTAGTTTATTCTGTACACGGGGCAGGTTGCCGTAAGTTGGCGATTTGCTTGCAACAGAGAAATGCGTCCGTTCACGGAGAGCGTCAGTCACGGTGTGTGTTGTTTACGCGGGTGTGAGTGTCTAGGTCAGCAGGAGGGGGTGACTGTCTGCGTGGTGGTCGTGTGATTGGACAAATTAGGGGAGGAATGGAGGGTGCATACTCACAAGGCCTCACGGGAATCA